CCCTTCGTCCCCTGCCGGCTCCCGGCTCGCGGTGGCCGTTTGCTGACGCTCCCTTCCTCTCAGCTAGAGGCTGGGAAACCCCCCCCCTTCCCGCGCGGCACACTGGGAATTGGAGTCCACTCGTGCTTCCCCTGCCCGTTGCCGCTCAAGGGTCGCCCAGTCCATGGAAACGACAACTCCCGGCATCCAATGCGAGAAGGGGAACGTGCGTCCCGGGGTTAAACGTCATCAAAGACACGTTTCTAAACAAGCTTCCGCGCGAGAGGGCTGGGGGAAAGGTCCCGCTGCCTAGTGCGCCTGCGTCCAAAGAGAGGGCGGGGGCATCTCCCTCGCAGTGTCTGCTGGGGCGGGTAGTCTCATTGATGTAGCCTAGGCATGGCCGGCATCCAATGCGAGAAGGGGAACGTGCGTCCCGGGGTTAAACGTCATCAAAGACACGTTTCTAAACAAGCTTCCGCGCGAGAGGGCTGGGGGAAAGGTCCCGCTGCCTAGTGCGCCTGCGTCCAAAGAGAGGGCGGGGGCATCTCCCTCGCAGTGTCTGCTGGGGCGGGTAGTCTCATTGATGTAGCCTAGGCATGGGTAGCTTTTCCCGCCTGCACCCAGCAGCATCGCTGCGGTGCACTGCTCTGCATGAGCCAGGCCCCAGCCATGAGACTGGTTATAAAACACAGAGGCTACATCTAGACTGGCATGATTTTCCGCAACTGCTTTTATCCGAAAAGTTTTCCGTTAAAAGCATTTGTAGAAAAGAGTGTCTAGATTGGCACAGAGGCTTTCCCATGCCAATCTAGATGCGCTTTTGCGCAAAAAGCCCTGGTTGCCATTTTTGCGATCGGGACTTTTTTGCGCAAAACAATACCGTGTTGTCTGCACTGGCCCTCTTGCACAAAAGCATTTACGCAAGAGGGCTTTTGCCCGAACGGGAGCAGCATAGCATTTCCGCAAAGAACACTGACAATCTTACATGAGCTCATCAGTGTTCTTGCGGAAATTCAAGCGGCCAGTGTAGACAGCCAACCAGCCAAGCAATAACCCCCCAAACATCCTCTTGCTCTTTACTTTTAAACCCTCTAGAGCAAGAAGAGAGGCGTCATCAGGAATCGATCTATCCCTTGTGTCGCGTACTCGTCCATGCAATCCTACCTACTAGCATCACCATCAGCCCCTCGTTCCAGCAATGGAGCGAGGAAGAGGATGGGCTGGAAGAAAAGAGGGAGGGAGAGGAGCTCTATCATCACCAGCTCATGAATATTTAACAGCACAGCCACGGGGAAAGCACCCACCACTCCCTTCCTCTGTCCCATTACCTTCCCCTGCTCACCAACATCCACCCAGCTGGAGAAAAGACCTGTCCGAGATCTGCTCTTGACTGTATTGTCCCCACACATCTGAGTGCCAGGATACAGCTGACACACTCACCCACAGAGCGGTATGTAGCCGTTAGAATATCATTAATCCCGGTTGTTCCACCTAGTCCTTCCCCTGACCTGGGACAAGTCACGTCTCTTCTCCGTGACTCAGTTCCCTGTGCAATGGAGATGTTCAGCTGATGCTGATGACAGGAAGAGCTTTAAGAGATCCCAGGAATCCAGGTTGCTGGTGATGCTTGGTACCTGGAGCTTCTGCTAGTATGAACAGGAAGACTAGATGAAAAGTCATCACTGCAATCTTCTTGTCCAGTGTCTAGGCAGTGGGAGGAGAACAATAGAGTTCAAGTTTGGACACCCCTGCTCTAGAGGCTACCGTAAAAACAGTAATGGGGCCTGACAGAAACTAACCCTGGTGGACCACCGACTTTTTATTGGCCACCCTTGGGCTAGCAGCTCCACATACATGTTTAGCACCTTGAATAGGCATATACTCAGGCAGCTAGCTGCTCCCACACCTATAACTACGCTGTATTTTAGCACTCAAGCTCAGTCAGAGCTAGCATGGGTAATGTCTCCTCAAGCTGGGAATCACACCCCAGCTCGAGGAATAACTCTTCCAGAAGAAGCCCTGTTTTCCAACGCTAGACTGTAAATTTACTTGCGCAAGAACGTGTGTTCAGTGTAGACACCCAGCAAGTTTTGCTCAAGAACAGTTGTTCTTGGACAAGAAGCCACCAGTGTAGATGTAGCCTCTAGAGGGTTTAAAAATAAAGAGCAAGAGGGTGTTTGGGGGTTATTGCTTGGCTGGTTGTAAAGCACTGCCCGACCCAAGCCAAAATAAAGTCTGTCCAAACCTTGAATGGTGGGCTGGCAGCCCTAACCGGAGAGCTCACTTTCCAGCTTGTTTACCTTGCCATGAGGGCTGCTGTACAACATTTAGGAAAGCTGAGATTTTCCCCATAATTCCATATTCCCAG